GTTACCATAGACGGTCTGGCTCCGTGTGCAGCTGAGGAGAGCGACTGTAACAGATGCTGTTTTTATCATCCTTCGCTGAATTAAGGAATTTATTTTCCACCAAACAAGAGGATGGTGATTGTTGAGATAAAGTGGAAAAACTCAAAAAAGACTCTTGTTGGTGAGGGTGTTTATTTTGTTTCCTGCTCCACATTTCAATGAAGTTGATGACTAACATAAAAATGCGCAAAGTAGAATATGAACAGTATTTTGCTCCAATCCTCGCGTGGATGGTGAGCTAAAAGGGGCGAATTAATTTAAAATGCCTCCCTAGTATAGATACGTATGTCCCGCCCATTTGGGGTTTTAAATCAATGAAAAGGATCTTGTCAACATTGTGCAAAAAACAAGACACATTTTAATGTGGATCGTACCACTTGCCATTGCAGTCTTTTCTTTAAATTTGACTATTTTCTAGGTCATCTAAGCTGTAGTAAATTTAAGGAGATTTATCTCTTTCTGTTTGTTGAGAAAGACTAACAAAGTGAAGATTATCTGGTGAGTTTTCTGTCCATGTGAAAGTGGCGTGTTACGATTATCTTGCTAGGTAAAATGACTTGAAAATCGTTTTGTCCAGTGCGAGTCTGTTCAGCCATTAGCAGCGTATTTGGTTTTATGAGTTTTCTTGCTATGGTGCTCATAGTGCAACATCGCAATTGTACAACTCCTAATGGCAAAAATACATGTGTTTTTTAACACCCATTCGTTTCTGTTTTAAAATCAACTCCACATCAAGACTCTTCTGCTATTTAACTAAGTTTGTGGATCTGAAAATATTTCCTGTCTATCTTCATCTATCCTTTCAAAATAAAGGCATAAAAAGTTTTAGCCCAAAATATCTTCAAAACAAAGAAAAGAATTAGGACAGAAACCGTCTGTGCCATTAGCACCTTCATGAAGGTGGGAGTTATTGCTGGGTTGTTGGATTAGACTGCATCTGTTTCAGTTATACTGGACACTGGGTGTATATTGATTTGTAAATGTTAATATCTGTAAATTAACAGTCATGAAGTGTTTGGTTTATTTTGTATCCCTAGAATGGAGTATGGCCGAAGAAACAAGACGGCTTTCAGGATTCAAGTAGAGAAAGGTAAGAGAGGCAAAAGTAGATAATGCTTGATCACACTGTGACAGGACTTTGGCCTGGCTATGTTTTCAAGGTCATTATTCTAAACAGTAAATTGACACTGGAGTCCCTTCTAATGGAAAGATAAAATAGTAGTATGAAGTAGTAGTATGAAGTA